ATAGATAGATAGATAGATAGATAGATAGATAGATAGATAGATAGATAGATAGATAGATAGATAGATAGATTTGCCTACTCTTAAAAAGTAAAATATCTTTATATTTATTTATTCTTAGCCTTTCAATTCATGTCCTAAATTACACCTGAACTGAACTGAACTTGTCTCACTTTGTGCTTTTCTTTTTTCCTCATATCTTCATGTTGACACGTGAGATGTCACACTTCAGAGCCACAGTGGACGGGTCTGGTTTTACAGCTTTATAAACGTTCTTAAAGGACAGTTGTGTGAGGTGCAACTTGTTGAGCAAGATTTTGACGATGGTTAAGAAAATAAAAATAAAACCTCAAGGTCTTTATGATTTAATAGAGCTAAAGTAGGTCTTAAGATTTTGTTTTGATTTGTTTTAGTTATATACAGCAAGTTTAAAGTGACCTAAAATATAAAAGAGCAATGAATTAGGTCATCTTAAATGATAAATACGCTGTGCTGGAGGAAGTGACTGGCATATATGGGCTTGGCATTGACAAACCAGAACAAGTTAGTTAATTTTATAAATAACCAGTAATTACAAAATTTTAATTAATTAGAATTATGTACCTAAGAAAACCAAACCAAAAAAATTATAATAAAAAAACAGCCACAAAATTCACCAATGCAGCAGGAGACAGTAAGTCCTTTATTAGACGTATACAGTGTTTTTTTTAATTAAAATACAAGGAATGTCTAATAACTTAAAAATCTAGTAAGATGGAGAAGACCCTTCGTGTAATTGTTGCTGTTTCAATAGTGAACATCTCCACCTCTCCTCTGTAGTCAGGTTGTGAAGGTAACAGGTCCTCGAGATAAATCCAGTCCTCCCTCTCCCCAGAGACACTTTCCAGCTCGTCCTGGAGGACCCTGAGGCATTCCCAGGCCAGAGAGGATACATAATCCCTCCAGTGAGTCCTGGGTCTTCCCTGGGGCCTTGTACTCTTGGGATGTGCTCTGAACATCTCTAAAGGGAGGCTTTTAGGAACAATCCTAATCAGACGAACCACCTGCAGAGGAGCAGTGGCTCTATTCCAAGCTCAACATCTCCAAGGCTGAGCCCAGCCACACACATTTTGTCCGCTTGCATCCAGGATCTCGTTCCTTTGATCATGATCCAAACCCCATGACCATACCATACCATACCAAACCATACCATACCATACATACCATACCATGCCATGCCATACCATACCATACCATACCATACCATACCAAACCATACCATACCATACATACCATACCATGCCATGCCATACCATACCATACCATACCATACCATACCATACCATACCATACCATACCATACCATACCATACCATACCATACNATACCATACCATACCATACCATACCATACCATACCATACCATACCATACCATACCATATCACACCATACCATACCATTCCACTTTTATTTATAAAGCGCTTTAAACAGCACAAGGCCAACCAAAGTGCTGTACAGTAGACAGACACAACTGGACATAGTTGAAATTACATTCAAAATACAGTCAAAATACAAATAAAAAATATGGAGCATTTATATTTACAGTACATATAGAACAGGGTTATGATACATAGTGAGGTTTTGCACCATCTCACTCAGACTCAAAGGCAAGGGAGTAGTAGTGTGTTTTTAAACAAGTCTTGAAGACAGCAAGTGAATGAGACTGTCTGACCTGTAGTGGTAGATCATTCCACAGTTTTGGACCTGCTACAGAAAAGGATCTGTCACCTCTCAGTTTGAGATGAGAGTTAGGGACCTTCAGAAGCAGCTGACCAGATGATCAAAGAGAGCGCTGTGGGACAAGTGGATGCACTAGATCTGAGAGGTAAGAGTGGGCGGAGTTGTTTAAGCATTTAAAGACATACAGGAGGATCTTAAAGTGAATTCTGAAATGAACCGGAAGCCAATGAAGAGATGCTAGAACAGGAGTAATATGTTCTCTTTTACTTGTGCCAGTTAGAAATCGGGCTGCTGCATTCTGAACCATTTGTAAATGAGCAATGGAAGACTGGCTGACTACTTACAGCAGAGCATTACAGTTATCCAGCCTGGATGTAAGGAATGCATCTCCAGATTTCTTTTTGATAGGATGGGTTTTAACTTGGCCAGTCTCCTCAGCTGAAAAAAGCAGGATTTAAAAATGGAGTTTACATGACTGTTTAATTTTAAGTATGGATCCATTTTTACACCTAGGTTGGTGACAAGTTGTTTTTCAAACGGGGCCAGATTGGAAAGTTTAATGCAAGTGTTATTGTTTGTGTTGTTAGTTGGAAACAGAATGACTTCTGTTTTCTTCTCATTAAAGTTTAGGAAGATTAAAGCCATCCAATCCATGATGTCAGCCAAGCAGTCAAGAAGAGGTTGGATGCAGTGTGGGCCAGCCTGTTTCAGAGGAAAGTAAATTTGACAGTCATCTGCATACAGATGAAATGGTATGCCATGTTTATGAAAAATTGCACCTAGTGGCATTAGGTTTAAGGAAAAAAGAAGGGGTCCCAGGATAGAGCCCTGTGGTACTCCCGTTGCTGATGAGGACATGAAGTCCTTGATGTTAACACAGAAATGTCTGTCTGTCAGGTAGGACTTGAACAAACTGAGGGCTGAACCTGGGATACCCACCTCCTTCTCCAGCCTGGAAATGAGGATGTTACGATCAATGGTGTCGAAGGCTGATGTGAGGTCTAAAAGAACAAGGAGGACAGATTCACCAGAGTCGAGGGCTAAAAAGATGTCATTAAACACATTCAACAGAGCAGACTCAGTGCTGTGATGGGACCTAAAGCCTGACTGAAATGTCTCCAAAATTTCATGATCCTCCAAGAAAGGTTTTAACTGAGTGTCCACTACTTTTTCCAACAGCTTTAACAGAAATGGCAGTTTGGAGATGGGTCTAAAGTTAGACACTATGGAAAGGTCAAGGCCATTTCTTTTCAGGAGGGGCTGCCTGTTTAAAGCTTTGTGGGACTACACCTGAAGTTAAGCTGTTGTTTATAATGTTAAGAACAGCAGGACCCAGAGTGGGGAAGATCTCTTTTAGAAGTCGGTTGGGAACTGTATCAAACAAAACTGGAAAACAGCTTCTCTAAGTGGGACAGTGAGATGGGCTCAAAGTGATCAAATACTGCTGGACAAGGAGTTAAGATGGATGGATCATGAGCTGGTGTGGAGATGAGAGCCCGAGTTTGAAAAACTTTATCTATGAAGAAGGTGAGAAATTCCTCACATAGTTCAGAGGAGGCTTCCAGGTGGGCTGGTTCATTCAGATGGAGAACAGTATTCAGAGTAGAATAGAGGATTTGGGGGTTGTGTGAGTTTCTGAGAAGTATTTATTTTTGCAGCTCTAACAGCTTTCTGGTAAGAACACCAGCTCTGTTTTAGCATCTCAAAAGAAACCTGCAGCTTGTCCTTTCTCCACCTCTGCTCAGCTTTCCGAAGCCTGGATGCTCTGGTTTCATCTTTTAACCAAGGTTCATTCCTGGACTTCAGGCATTTGGTTTTAACTGGAGCCACCCAGTCTAGAATGTTAACACATGCTGTTTGGAATTGAAGGGAAAGCTCTTCAGTGTTAGCAGACTCTGAAAATTGCTTGAAAKCTTCAGAGTTAAATATTTCAGTAAAGTGTGTGGCAGTTGAAGGGTTAATGGCCCGGCTGCACATGGAGTGCACTGTTTAGGAGATGTACTGGGYGGGATGAAACTGAATAAAACAGGCATATGGTCTGAGAAAAAGGCATCACCAATAATCAGATTAGAAACAGAAATGCCATTTGTTATGACGAGGTCCAGTGTGTGTCCACATCCCTGGGTTGGAACAATTACAGACTGTGTTAGGTTAAAGGAGTCCAATAAATCTAAAAAGTCCTTCACTAAAGGCAACATAACCATTGCAACATACATGAATGTTAAAATCACCCATGATTAAAAGGTGGTCATATTTAGGCATGAGTTCAACCATAAGTTCAGAGAATTCACTTATAAAGTCTTTGTTGTATTTCGGCGGACAATAGATAATAGATAATAGATTATAATAGAATAGATCAGCGCACACAGCAGAGCGGGCGACTGTCCCACCTCAAAAAGGAACACTTCAAAGCTCGAGAACGAAACCGGGATGGACAGATGTTTACAGACAAAATTTGGTTTAAATATAGTCAACAGACCGCCGCCACGGCCGGAGGACTTCGGCGAGTTAAAGTAACTGCAGTCAGGAGATAAAAGATCCGCCAGGGCACTCGACTCACCACTCGGCATCCAAGATTCAGTGTCCAGCTCCTGTTCACTGAAAAACTCCCACAAAGTAAACGTCTTGTTTGTTACTGATCTGGCATTAACCAAGCACATCCTGATTGGGCCCGCAGCCGACACAGCCTCCGTGTGCGCCATACGCGCCAGAGGCCGCAGGTTCTGAAGATTTGCGCCTCTCCGGCGCGGCTGTTATGGATGAGAGAGCTGATGCTTTGAGCTGATGACTGCTATCAAGCCAGGGGGATCTGATGTCCGGGTCAGGTCGGAGAAGCAGTGGTCAGCTTGATGTGATGTCAAGAGATCCTTGGAGGAATAATTCCCATGATATTTCAGCTTTGCCAGCTTCACCAGCAGCCCGGCCCGTCTTCCTCGCCGTTTGCGACACTTCCTCCTGGGAGGTAGCCAAGGTAGCCCTGGGTCTCGATGGGTGGCCTGTATCCCGAACAGGGATGCTGAAGAATCCTAGTGGTCATATGATGAGAAGTTTGCTGGAGATCCAGACCACAGGTGATAGACAGAATAGTAACTCTAGATCTTTGCCTTTCAATTTAACTAATTCTTAACCATGGCTGACCAAAGCAACGCCCTCATTACTGAGGTCGAGGTCCCAATCCGCCGATCCATCTCCCCCTCCATCTTATCGTCACTCATGAACAAGACACCCAGATACTTAATCTCCTTTTCCAGTCGCGAACCATGGCCTCAGACTTAGAGGAACTGACTTTCATCCCAGCCGCTTCACACTCGGCTGCAAACCGCCCCAGTGCCCGCTGAAGGTCTTGGCCCAAAGACGCCAGCAGAACCACATCATCTGCATAAAGCAGAGCCAAGACTTTATGGTGTCCCAACCAGACACCCTCTTCTCCACTTCTGTGCTTTGAGATCCTGTCCATGATCAGAGACAAGGGACAGCCCTGGCAGAGTCCAACCTGCACTGAGAATGAGCTCAACTTGAATGCGTACACAGCTCCTGCTTTGGTTCTACAGGGACTAGATAACCTTTAAAAGCAACACAGACACTCCATACTCTCACAGCACCTCTCATAGAATAACACAAGTAATATGATCGATCATAAGCCTTCTCCAGGTCCACAAAACACATGTAGACCAGAGAGGCAAACTTTCAGGACCCCCTTAGCATCTCTGCAAGGGTAAAGATCTGGTTCATTGTTCCGTGACCAGGACGAAGGCCACTCTGCTCCTCCTGAATCCAAGGTTTGACGATCGATCGCAACCTCCCTTCCAACATCTTTATCTCACTGACATCTACTTGAGCTGTCCAACTTTTGTTGGCTCCAACGAATCATGGTTCGAATTGACTGCAAACTCTATAAACACTGAATGTGCGAGCAGAAAATCTGAGTCCTGTTTCATCATTATTTAGCAGGACAACCACTTGATGCATGGCAGAGCATTAAAAAACACTGCTGTGGGTTTATTTTGTGCATGTCGTTTGAACACAGGTGGTGGTCTCGCAGCAGCCATTCAAAGCTGACTCATATCAAAGCTGGCTCTTTGCGGAGCGGCGTCTTGCAGCAGGTGACATTTAAGGCTGGAAATGAGTCCCTGACTTTGAACACTTTGCCCTGAGCTGAACCCTCCCCTCCTGACTGAGCCAGCAGGAAGTGAGAGCAGATCAGGACAGGGTAGCTGCAGACAGAAGCTTACTTTGTGCTGCAGCAGCAGAAAGATGCAACATCTACAAACTAAGGGTGATTTAAATAAACTCAGCAGCAAACAAAAGATGACGTCTTCTCGTTCTGTAGAGGAGTAATGGATAAATAACCAGCAAACAGAAAGCATCAAGGTAAGTGAAGTTTCTCATTGGTGCATTTATTAGTCTTATTTCCTGTAGTAATATAACATTAATAGAATATGACTTTATGACCTCTACTGACTTGTGTGACATCACACTGTAGGTGAGCGTCAATTCAGAATCAGCTCTCCCCAATGAAACTTTGAAAATGTGGCAGTTATTGACTGAATATAAGTAAAAACCCTTCGAGACTTGCCTAACTTCCAGGAGATGCAGGATCCCCTGACAGATTGCACCCCGCTCATCGACGCAGCTTGTTCTGGGAAGCTCCGTCTGGTGCGCCTGCTGGTGGAAGGTGGAGCTCAGGTGAATGGCAGCAACCTCAGCGGGGAGACGGCTCTCCTGGCTGCCTGTAAAGCCCTGAGAGGGGAGCCTGCTGGGCCTGAGACTGTGAAACTACTCAAATACTTGCTTCAGAATCAGGTCTTTCAGCAACAAGTACATCCTCTTTTCAGTTTAAAATACATAGAGTCTTTCCACTTATAGAGTTTTGTTCTTATTAGGCAGATCCAAATGCACAAGACCACACGGGCCGTACTGCTCTGATGTACGCCTGTAGGCAACGGGCAGGAGTCCAGGTGGCTCAGACTCTCCTGGCTGCAGGAGCTGATCCCTGCATGGAGGACCGCTCTGGAGCCTCGGCGTTGGTCTACGCCATCAACGRACAGCACCAGCCCACAGTCCAGGTTAGTAAAGTAAGGGTCGTCATCCGATTGATTCAAGATTTTACTTTATGGACTGATGTACAGAAAAGTAAATTTTCTTCATCCTCCTCATCACTGAATCTTAATACAAAAATCTTCCACAAATAAATTGGAAATAATTTTTTCTAGCTTTGTAATTATTTTAATGGATCATTTTGTAGTTTTCTGCGTGCGCTGCATTGTGGGTAAAAGGTCAGAGGTTATTCAGTAAAAACAAARCCACTTTGATATTAAATTTGACAGATGCATCTACATTTTTTCCCATTTATCTGATGTTTTTTTGTGAATTATGGCAGAGAAAACACTTGAGGTGAAATGCTGGAGTCAATGCACAGTAGGACTTTTTTATGAGCAAGGGGCCTATCATGGAAAGTGGATTTCTAAGGTTTTATTTGTAAAAATATAGTTTTGGAACTTGTGACAACTTTATTTTTAACATGATTTTATTCATTCACCAAAAAAAATTATTAATGCTTTCATCGTTGTTTAGTTTTTCAGTTCATTTTTCATTCTTCTTTTCTGCTCTTACCGCCCATGTAGTTAGTATTTACATAACATTATATACTCTCAACTGTGACATCATAAACACAACTAAAACAAACTCAAAAAACAGATTTACAGCTTAACCATACAAAAACACTCATCATTCACATCATCATCACATTTTAAAGGAATGTTTGACACAAAACAGTTTAGAGAAAATCGGGTCTGTGTAACAACTTAAATTTACAGATATAATTTGTTCAATTCCAGTGGCAGTTCCATATAGCAACATCAGTGACTGTACTGTAAGAAGGCCCTGTCAAACTAAAGTTTAGACTTGTGAAAATTTTCAAGACATTGAAGATGAAATTTTAAAAATCCACTGGAAGCCTCTTTTAGGTGCATGCATACGATAACAAAATGATCAAAAATTTTAGACAGAAAAAAATGTAAAAGTTGGCATTAGTTGTTTAAAACTTTACAGTGTGACAGGGCCTTGACCTGTGACCCGGTCGCTTTGCACATTTACATATAACTATGAAATGATCTGTTGACTAGTTCTTTAAATATCAGTATATTTGACTTCAGACAAAAATTAAATAAACTTCCCCACAGAATGCCTAATCTCCCATGGTCCTGAGTTTGGGTTGAGGTAGATGGAGATTACTGTTCTGTGACCACAGGGAATGAGTGGATGAATTTGGAACAAAAAGGTCCTTCAAATAATCAGGTGAGGTTCCGCTAAAGCCTTAATGAGCAACAATAGCAATCTATTGAATACTGTAGGTAATAGGGGCCCATTAAAGGTAACAGAGAATCATTGGGTGTAATAAGTTCTGATTTACAAGCTCTCAGTAAAAGCCTTGCTACACTATGAATATATTTAAGTTTTTGAAGATCTTTACTAAATAAAAAAAGTTGAGGATCAAACACCCTACCTTGAGGAACTCCACACTTAAATCTGTTGAAGCTCTGATTTACGATGTTCAAACTCAACACTCTAATCATGAAAATAATTGAAAAAAATATATTCGATGCACCTTCACAGCCTTCATAAGACTGATAAAATATAATTAACACCTCACCGTCACTCCTCCAACGCAGCTCTTAATGGATGCCTGCCGAGCCAGGGGTCGTGACGTCATCATCATCACCATGGAGAAGGGCACAAATGGAAAACCAGTGACCAGGCGTTACCTGAACGTTCCCCCGTCCCTGGAGTCCTCGCCGGTGTCTTGCATGTCCCCGTCTGAGATCGTCCTGAAGACGAGCTCCCCGAACTCAACGGAGGGAGAAAACATCTTCAACTTTAGAGGAACAAGTGAGTCGGAGGAAATCACAATTATTCAACTAAGATATTTTGCTAACTGTTTTTTTTTCTGTGATGCTGACTCCTGTCTCCTGGCAGACAAACATGGAAGTGGCAGCAGCAGCAGACGTTCGTCCTGTGAGCTGAGCTCACTGAGTCCATGTGGCTCTCCGACCTCCAGACCCAGGGTTTTGTCTGAACCGTGGCTAGCCATTCAGAACCTGGCTTCTCTGAACAGAGCGTACGAGGAGGGCGTGAGGGAGAAGAGACTGAAGGAGGGTGGAGGTGTGCAGGGTTTGAGGAGGGGCAGGGAGAAAGAGGACGATGGGCTGGGGAGCGATGGAAGTGAGGTTCAAAGGGAAGATCAGTCAGTGGGGTGTTCCACACCAGGAGGGTCAGCTTTAGACAAGAAGTGTCCTCCACCCTCTGCCTCCCAGCTCCGCAGGAACACCCTCCCCTTCATCACACTGGTCCCACCTCCACTTCACCTCCCTGCCTTAACGAACCAATCAGACGCTGACCTGCAGGTGCCGAGCCACGCCTCAACTTCCACCCGCAAGACCATAGTGTTCCAGCCTCACCCACCATGCTCCTCTCTCAGACCAGCGTCACTCCCACCGCTGGCCTCCTCTGCCACCTCCCTGGTTGCTCCTCCTGCCTGCTTTCACGGCGACAGGAGCAGGAGGTCACTGCGGCGTCACTCAGTGCAGCTGGAACAAATCAGAGGAGCTCATTCAGACTTCTGAAACTTTATTCAGCCTGAAGCCAGATCAGTGTTGTCTTTAACAAGCTCTACAGATCAGGCTGGAGACTGATTTCTTTTTTTTTAGACCATTAAAGTGACAGTTTGGGATATTTCATGGGAGGTTTTATGAAAAGATTAAGAACAAGTAGTAGCTTACCTGCTATAGATAGCTCTTTGAATAAGCTTAGTTCGGAGATTTACAATTTAATTGTTTGTTTTAGCAATGATGCCTCACAGCAAAAAGGTCCTGGAGTATTTCTGTGTGGAGTTTGCATTCTCGAAGTCAGCGTGATGTCATTCAGTCACATGATTTCAACCTCCATTTTTTATGGGGGAAAACTCAATGTGAGACTCCGTTACAAACTGTGTCAAAAGTAGAGACTTCAAACTATACAGCAGTTTTTCAATTGTGTCGTTAGGTCAAGTGTTAAGAAAACCAGCATTACGATAAATAGCATGTCTTACTTTTTTTTCTGAAAACGGACGTTCTATTTTGAAGCGTGTTGCAGCTGAAGGGAGCAGGAAACATGGTAATCTCGTGGAAAAAAACACAGCTGTCCATKGTCAGTCTCATCTTTCTCTTAAACTGAAAAAATATAACCCKCCAGATRTCSTTTTTGARTGAGGCTCAAAGTTATCTGACAAGCAGTAAAAAATCTACAGGAAGAAGAAAATAAAAAGAGGCGAAATTTGAATGGAGATTGGTGGCAATGAAGAGCCGGTGAGAGCAGGATTTTATTAATTAGATCTGTGACTTTTAACATGCTTGGATTTTACAATTAGTGTGTAGTTTTGAGTGTTTACTCTTTATTTTAGCCAATTTTAGTGTGTTTTGAATCAAAACAATGAGGCAATTCTTTTTAAACAAGGAGAAGCACGGAAGTCTACAGAGGCAGAACGACAACATMTGTCTTATTTCTCACCCCTCACTCTTGCAGTAACAAAAAATAAATATTTTCTCTCTGGATGTTTTTTTTTACATGAGAAATGCAGTCCTACAGCAACTTTTCACAATTTTTCCTATTTTCCACATAAAGGAACTCATCCTATTTTCCCCCAAACCAATATGTCAGCCTCCGTTTCCCGCGCCGTTTACAACATGGTCACGTGACAAAGTACCCGGCTGTTTGACTTGGAGAACGTTCTCTTCGTTTACTGAGTTTTCTCCCACAGTCAAAAAACATTCATGTGGTGGTCATGGTTCCACTAACAGCAGAAATAGTTCTTCGATTAGCAAAGTAGCTTTTCCACGAACTTTGTAAACAGTTAGCTGACCAAGTAGCTTCCGCTAAATTTAAACCTTAAAGGGCCAATATTATGTGTTTCTCAGGCATATATTTAAATACTAAACCATAATAAAGTATCTATGTCACCTTTAGTTTTTATTTCAATGCTGTTTTTATGTTTAAATAGAAAATAAACTTATCTTCTCATTACTTCCTCTTCTAAACGCCTTGAAATTGGCCTCGGTCTCTTTAAGAACCTCCTTCTGCTTCTGTCCCATCCAATTCGGGGTGGTGTGCTATGATGCAGTTTATGTGGCATCTGGAAATACATTTCCTCGAAGGTCTTTTGAATCCGAAAAGAGCTTCACTGAGTGAGAAATAGTGTTGAGAGCAGCAGACAGTTAAGTTTCACTTTCACTTTGCTCTGTTACTGCCAGAGCCTGCAGGAGTCATGGGCGGGGGTGGCGAGGTGTGCTCCGTGATGAGGAAGTTCAGCTTAAAGACACGTCCCAGGGGCGTTTCTGGTCCCCACCTGTCGTTTTGCTCCTCAGCATGGCAGCCTAAAAACACTGCAGGATTTGTCAAACATGCATGAATGAGTCAAAACAAGARTTTGGGCATGTTTTTTTATGAGAGTGTAACATTATAACATGATACAAAACTCAAAAATGTTGATTTTACACGATATTGCCCCTTTATAATAATAATTATCTGCTAACTGGTAACCAACAAACTAACACCAACAGGTTTGTGTCAGTCCCACCAGTCTTCCACTTTTTAAATTTTTTTTTTCTGGTTTAGAAGAAGCTAACTCTTTTGGTCAGTCCACCACTGCGTGCATGTTGTTGCCTTCAGCCCCAGGACTCCTTTGTAAAAGTGATCTATGATCTCAGTGGAATTTACCTGGTTAAACAAAGGTTAATAGATAAATGCCCTGATGCATCTCAGTAATCCAGGTAAAAAAATCAAAAAGAAAAAAATTGTATAGGTCCTCTGGACGGGTTCTTCTCTAATGAAACGTTTCGTCTCTTCTCCAAGAGACTTCTTCAGTCTGAGAGTTTCAGGCAAAATTCAGGCTTTTAAGCCCTGCCTCCATGTGACTGATACTCACA